GCGCGCCCGGGGCCCATTCGCCGCCGCCCATTGTGCGCCGTGATTGACAGCACCACGCGGCCGAGCGCGCCCGGATTTCGCTATAAATGGCTTAAAACCCCAGTCTAGACGGTTTACGCGGACGGCGGGGGAGACAATCGCCGCGTTGTTCCGCGCCGGGGCTGACCGGGAATTTAGCTAAGTCTTCTTCCCGGCTGGAGGACGGGGACGGCCGCGAGCCGAGGCGGGGCGGCGGCGCGGGGCAGCCCTTCCCTGCGGCGCTGGGTCGCCTGGCCGCGCTCTTTCTGTTGGCTCTGGTCCCCCGGAGCGGCACCCCGAGTGATGGTGAGTTCCTTCGTCACCCCCGGCCCTTGTGAACCCGTTGGGATTTTATTTTTATTTATTTAATTTTTTTTTCCCTAATGAAAATTTAATTCTTTTTTTAAGGACCGCAGTAAGGGATGCTCCTCGGAATGCACAGGAGAAGGGGGATCCCCGAAGGTGGCGAAGACCTTCGAGGTAAGTTGTTTGCCCGAGATCAAATGCCCGAAACGGCCCTCGGCGGGAGTAAATAATGCATTTCTTGAGATTTACCGGGGGAATTTTCAGCGTGTGGGTTATAACCGTAGTTAGGTGTGCTGTGCATTTGCAATCCCATCCCCCGAGGGGGAAAATGATTTGGGAAACGATAGAGTCATTTATCACATCGAAAATGATCTGGGGGTTCATTGGTTATTTTTGTGAATCAGAAATTTTTTAAGGAAAAAAATGAGTCAGTTCGTGGTTTTTAACCTGGATGTTTTTCTGATTGTGTAATAAGCATAACCCTTCATCCTCTGTGGAAAAAGTTCGCTGTATAGTAAAAGACCTCCCTTGCCTCCTTTCCTGTCTGAATTGTGTGGTTTAAATACGAAATAACCTTAGACTTCATAGGAGAATAGTGAGGAGGAAATGGAGTAAGGACCTTGGAAAAGTACTGTGAAAATTATAAAAATCCAACTGGAAGGGGTCTTATCTTTTCTGTATCAGTCATTATCCAGCACCGAGGCGAGAGGTTTTTGCTTCTCCTCTCTCCGACTCTGCTGTCCCCTGCCTGCTTAGGTCACTGTCAATTGTCATCACAGTACAGCGTGTCCTTAGTGAGCTCACTCCCTGGAAGAGTTCAGAGGGGGGGACCTCACACGTAGTCAACCCTTCCGGTCTGCCAGGCATTGTGCTAGGTTTTGGGAACCCAGAGATAAATTCTGGACACTGTCTCTGCTTGTAAGGATTTTTTTGTGAAAACCAAAATGTGATAGGATATATACATTTCCATATGGAGGTATGTTTTGTGAATCTTGTTTGTCCATATTATTTCTAGTGCTTTAAACAGAAAACCCTCCATAACCCTACTCTAGCTGATTTACCCTGCTAATCTATAATGACTAAACTCTGATACATTTGAGGACCTGCGTATTGAGGTACCTACCTGTCTTTAAAAGAATGTGAGCTGAAGGACCTCTTCCTCCATAATCTCTCAGGTTCATTTTGTACAGATTCAAGTAAATAAATTCCTCAAAAGAAACAGGTAAATGTATTGTTCTCCTGAAAGGGCTTTATACTTTTATACCAAGAAAAATTCTTTGCAAAGAATTAGTTCATAATATAAGTAATCTATTAATTTAGATTTCTATGTTAGGTTTTAAAGAGGAATGTCTGTTGACACTTAGGTATTTCCATATTCAAACATCATCTATAAGGAACATTTTCACAGCACAGACATCTTTGCATGGGAGGCAAATGGAAAATAATACTGATAATTCAGGGGAGAAAAATGATGGATTCTATAGGATCGTCTTTGCCCTTTTTGGGGAGTGAGGGTGCTGGGGATTGAATGCAGGGTCTTGTGATCTCACACATGTTAGGATGGTGCCCTTTCACTGAGCTACATCCCCAGCCCTAAATTTTGCTTCAGTCAATTTTTTCACCTCCCTGTTAATCTACCCGATTTGTAATTTTTTTTTTTTCCGGTACCGGGAATCGAACTCACGACCTTGCGCTTACCAGGCAGGCGCTGTGCCGCTGAGCTAAATCCCCAGCCCCACCGATTTGTAATGTTTTATATTGCCTGTCAGTGATCAAGGGTAGTTTCATATTGCTTTTGCCCTTTCCTGTTTTGGTGAGGTCATGTTAACAGTGCCATTTCTCGTGGGGCTCAGTAATGAGATGTCTTATCCCAGATCCCAGGGAATCTTCCTGGACTCTGGGGTCCCTTTGAAAGAGATCAGCTGCCAACTTCCTCCTGCATTATCTATCTCCATGGAAGGGAGCATTCCAAATCTGTAGTTTTCTTCTTCAGACCTCCATATTAGATAACAGACAACGACCATAGTACCTAATAAGAAAAATGCCCAAGAATCTGTTGTAAAATAGAGGTTCACTCCATTTATAGTGCATACTTGGTCTCGGACAAGTGAAGTGTCGTGGCCCATATAGAGACGTGTACATATTTTGCTGCAGAATGAGGAACAAAAGAGGTTGACTGGATTCTGACTCACAGGGTCCTCAGATACTTTCCATCAGGTTTTATACTTCCCAGCTATTTCCCATGCCGGCTTAAACAGTTACCTAATCACGAACGCTGAATTAGGAAATTGCTTTTACAGTGTCCTCTTTTTGTGACTATCTTTTGTCATTTCACAAGCCGTTCTTCCACAAGCTTGTGGTGAGAAGCATCCTGACTTTGAAGTCATCAGAATATGGACCATGACTTTACACATACTGTACTGTGATTTCAGAACTGCATTTCAATCGACTGAAAACCAGTCACACTCCTGAAGTTACAATTGTGGCCTTTCCACTTGTTCAACTGTGTCATCTAGTTATTTTAGCATACTTAGGTCAAATGTCTCTTTGAACTCAGGTTAAAAATTATTTTTAGTTCCCAGAACTGAAGAAATTTTCTCAAATAAAAGAAAATAGAATTCGTCAAATTTTAAGAGGCACCCAATTTTCCATTACTTTGAAAAACTGGATACAGGGCAGTTATTAACGTATGAGTCAGAGCGTTATAGTATTACTATTGATGTCATTAAGCAATCACATTTCTACAAATAGGTGAAGTTATTTACTGAAATAAATGTCTGGAAATTTTAGAATTTTAGCTAGTATTAGTTATAATTAGAAGAGTAATAAGAGGAGCATAGACCTATTTTATTCTATATTCCTTCTTTGCTATTAACTAACTTCATCTCCTGGGACCAGTGGGTGACGACTAGTGATTTTAGAGTTATTTTTTTATTTTAATTTTTTGCAGGGCTGGGGATTGAACCAAGGGGGCCCTGCTTTTGCTAGACAACTGTTCTATCCCTGAGCTCTGCTTCCAGCCCTAGTGGTATTTTTAAAAAGAGGATTCAGGAAACAAAAGTGTATTTATTGGACCACAGTCATGTCAATGTTAGCAGCCCATTGGACCTCACTGTGGAAGTTTCCAAAAACTTCAGTCTGCATCCCATTTCCAGTCCGAACGGGAACCTCAGAGGGGCGGGGCAGGGCCGCGCTTCGCCTGGGTTTTTATGTTACAGAAGTGATTCTGATGGTGCAGGCAGGGCTGCACATCACCCTGCACCATTTTCCTGGATGACCTCATCTCCTAGGAGCTGGGGGTTGGAAAATTACTGCTCAGGAGGGAGAAGTGTAGCGACTCCAGGAAAAAGCTCACCAGTACTCAGATGTACCCTTCCCTGAACTGTCTCTTTCCCTTCCTTGCTTCTTCATACTTTAAAAACAAGAAATTAAAATGAGGGTTACCTTCAGTGCCTTCTTCAGTTTGCCTGGAACTCGTGTGTGTGCGCGGGCTGACTGTAGCTGCCTGCAGCTTAGCGTGGACGTTCCTGGGGGAAGAAGGTAGGGGATACACTCGTAGCTGGACAGAGCGGGAGCCCTCGGGGACCTGGAAGGTTACTGCACATTGGTCACCAGGCAGTGGAGCGACTCCTTATCTGAGCCTAGCCTGGCTCCAGTGCCTGCAGGGTTGCCTGACACTATCTCCCGGGACCCCGCTTATCCGCATTCCCTGCATTCCTGTCACACACAGCTCTTTGCTGTTTCTTGAACATGCCAAGTGAGTTGCTACCTCAGGGCCTTTGTGTCCGCCTCATCTGCCTGAAATACTATGCCCCTAGATATATCTATCCCATTAGGGAAGCCTTCACTAACCTTTCTCCGATAAGCAGTCCCTCTTACTCGATTCTCTTAAATTGCTTTAATTTTGGTTGTAGCATTAGTCATCTCTTGACATCTAGTAATCGGTTTATTTACCCTCACTAAGACCACCAGGACTGATGTTTTTCCGGGTGGATACCAGTATAGGCATAGGAGTATATCATAAAATATTAGATTGAATGAATGAATGCTTTTTGCTGTCAGGAGCTAGCATTTGTCTGTCCCTGGCCACAAAGAGTTTGCCTAGAAGGGAAGGGCCTAGCCTTGGGCAGTGTCAGTCTAGCTTGTGTTTGCTCAGTGTACCACCTGAGCCGCAGTGCTGGCACTGTCACTGTTTACTGAGAATGAATAACAAGGCAAAATAATAATAAAGCAGCTGAGGAAGCAAGAGGAAGGCTCAGGGAAAAATACCCTACCTTTGTTTGATCTGAAGCAAAGCCATAGTTTTGTTTTAAAATACACTTAACATATACTATACTAGCCTTCAAGAAAAGTTGTGTATTTCCTATTGCCTGCTCCGTCCATGGCAGGAAGAGTAATCAGAGGGCTTAGAAATCCATAAAAATCTAAAGATCATGTTCTGCCAGCTTCATGATTGGGGGATAATTGATTGATGATAGAAATAGGTGAAAGAGTCGGCTTTTATGTCATTTTGGAAGAGCCATGAACATTATTGATTCTACTAGGGGGAAGCAAGTTCTGCTGCCTTTGCAGTATTTCAGGTGGATGCACCTTGAGACCATAATCCTTTGTAAAATGTGTAAATCACATTTAAATATCAGATTGTTTCTCTTGTGTGAGAAACCCAAAGTGTAAATAAAGGAGCACAACAGAGGGTCGCTGCTAGGCAGTAGGAAAAAGCTTGTTCAGAGGGGAAGGGGAACAAGAGATGCGGGGAGGGAAGGAAGGGAAAAGGATCTAAGGGAAAAGAAAAAGAAGTGAAGAAAACTGTAAGTGGAGCTTTTGTAAATAGAAAAGGATCGGAGGGAGGGGAGGCGAAAGGGATTTTAAAAGAAGGACTTGAGGTGTGTTATGCACATGTACAAATCCCCACGAGTGTGTTCATTATGTGCCGGAAACAGGCACTAATAAAAAAGATATATCCAGAACTCGGCAAGTATAAAAAACTGTCCATTTTCACACCCACCCTTTCAGTGTGTGTGTGTGTGTGTGTGTGTGTGTGTGTGTGTCTCGTTACCTTCCCTTCTTCCAAGAAACCTAACCTGTTACCTTAGAGAAGAAATTTTGCACAGTTTACTTTGTAGTATTACTACAATACCAGATTTTTCTTAGCGTTTGGTAAATATAATGAAAAAAAGTTCAACATCACTGGCTATTAGAGAGATGGAAACTAAAACAACTCTAGGACTCCATCTCAGCCCAGAAAGAGTGGCTATCAAGAAACCAACCGCTAACAAACGGTTGCTGGGAGTGCAGAGTGGTGCAACCACTGTAGTCATCAGTGTGGAGATTCCTCAGAAAACTAGGACTGGAGATCCCATTCAACCCAGCTATTCACATGCACACCCATATTTATAGCAGCACAATTTGTAATAACTAAATCTTGGAAACCCAGGAATGGATAAAAAAGATGTGTTTTTGTTTATACAATGGAGTACTACTCAGCTATAAAGAAGGATGAACTTGAGACATTTATAGGTAAGTAGATGCAACTTGAGATCATACTCTTAAGTGAAATAAATTGGACTCGTGTAAACATCACATTGTCTTTCTGGTGTGAGAAACTTTGAAAGAGTAAAAAAGACCAAAATGTACAATATTGTGACATGGGAAAAAAATTGTTCAGAAGGAAAGAGGAACTAGGGTGGAGGGAGGGAAAAAGGAAGGAAAGGAAAAGCAAAAAAAGCGATAAAGGATAAAATGGAAACAAAGCTTTTTAAATAAGGAAGGGAAGAGGGATTGAAGGGAGGGAAGGGGATTGGGAAGAAAAGAGGAATCAAAATATATCATGTACAGGTACAGATCCCCTATGATGAATATGGTCACTGTATATCCAAAATGTACCAATAAACTTGATTAAAAATAAATATTGTAGACTTTGAGGACGATTAGATTGTTATCACAATGAGGATTCTGCCACCTCCAGAGGTAAAACAATTGTATGACCGCATTCCGTTAAAACTTTTCTTTACAAAACAGGCTACATTTGACCTACAAGTAAAATCTGCCTGCCCCTCCACCTAGTCTAGAAGATAAAAAGAGGGAGATGGGACCCAGAGATGAGTTAGCTGGAGTTCATCTCTTTCAATAAATTTATCCCACTTAGTAATGAGTTTTTTGGTACCAGGAATCAAACTCAAGACCTTGCACTTGCTAGGCAGGCGCTGTGCCACTGAGCTGTATCCTCAGCAGTAATGAATTTTAAACTAACTTATTTCCTTGGATTGAATAGTGGTAGAAGAAAGTCACTTTTCTCTGTAAATTTGGCATTTTACTAGGCTGTGACGATGAGGTAAGTGCTGCAGTATTGCATTTTCCTTAATGCCCTGGACTTCATTGTGAAGTGAACTTTCTGGTTGTCTTACAATATGTTTTTTAGGCCTAATATTCTAAAAATGAAATAGATTATCATTTATAACTTATCAGATGTTCAAAAATAACTAAGTCAGTGAATTGATCAGGGGTGATTGAAAATCATTAAAAATGAATCATGTAAAAATGTAAAAAGCCAATGAAGTTCTTCTATTTTTTATTTTAGGGAGGGTTTTGGGCGTGTGAGGGTGCGCTGGGGGTTGAACCCAGGGACTTAGGCACATGTTTTATCCCTGCCCTATATCCCTACGCCCAAAAGTTGCGTTTGCAATTTGGAAGGCAATGCGTGTGTTTGTAGTTAGAGAAGCTGAAGGCCTGGGGTGTAGCTGCTGGTGAGAGCTTACTGGCCTTGCCCCAGGTGCTGGGTGTGAGTCCCAGACTGATCAGGATTAGTGTCCTGTGCACCAGCGTCCCAGCTACTAGATAGAAAGCGGAAGGGTAGGCCAGGCTGTGTAAAACAATGCAACTTGTGAACAGGTTGGACCTGTTCTGTCCCTGGTTTTTCAGCTGATCAGAAAGCCTTTCACTTGTTTTTCACCAGCACTGTGTAACTGTTGCAAAGTTAGTGGCAGCGTGTGGCAAACTAACTTATTTATAAAATTACTCAGCGTGTGGCAGTTGTGCGGTGTGCCTGCATCTTTGGTCCTTTGTAATGGGCCAAGTGGCCTTGTGAAGAGTTGGTGAAACGCTGTGTGAAGTTGTTTCCTACTACTCTTATTTATGTGTCTTTGAATAAGAGATCTTTTGTTCACTGTTTCCTCAACACAGAATAGAGAATTGATATCTCAGTGTTTCTTCTCCTTGTCTGTTTTTTCCAAGAGAAAAACATTTGCCTCACTTTGCTAATTTCTGCTACAGTGCGTCCAGAGGATTTTGAAGGTTTATGCCAGGAATTCTCTGGGTCAGTCGGAGCATAGCTGGTACCAAGTACAGAGGTTCATTGCTTAATGGCGCTCATTTGAGTTGGACAAGTCATTGTGAGCATTCCTGTTTCTATCGGGAAGATATCCCTCTCTTTCCCAAATCTTTAGCTTGAGTCCTATAATGGGACTAAAGAGGATGTGTTCTCTGTCGTTTACCCTCATCTGCTATTTTGTCTCTGTTTCAGAATACCATGGCACTTGATTCTCGTGGTCTGATAGGCAGTGTGTATCACAGAGGTTTTGAACCATCAGTGAGTTCTGAATGTAGGTGTGGTCAATTTAGCACACGTAGTGTTCAATTCCTGTGTTAGTTGCCACTATGTAAAAGTCTGGTGATAGCCTCCCCCGCATCATCTAACCAGTGGATGTTCAGTTACTTTTCTTTAACTATACTGATTTTTCTTTCCCAGGCTAAAGATTTAATAATCACAGCAGCCACCACTTTGAAGGCTAAACCAGACCCGAATAATCTGGTTTTTGGAACTGTGTTCACGGATCACATGTTGACAGTCGAGTGGTCCTCTGAGTTGGGATGGGACAAACCTCACATCAAGCCTTTTCAGAATCTGTCACTGCATCCTGCCTCATCAGTTTTGCACTATGCCGTAGAAGTAAGTACATGGGGCTTAAGGATTATCACATGCTTATTCTTCACCGTAGGTGCCCAAGGTCCCCTGCTCCAATACCTTCAGGATAGAGCACGTTACTAGAGGAACTCTTAAATAACTGTAAAATTTTTCCTGTAGATAATTCGACTGAGGATAAGTTTTAACAACTAATTTTTCAGATAATCCGCGAAGTTTCTGTGATGTCAGTAAGAAAATCATTGGGAACAACTAGCAAGGACATTTGGTAGGAGAATTAGCCCAGACTGTTGATACATTATTATTATTATTAAGTTACCCTTATTTCAGACCTTCTGATGATTGAGAAAGGGTCATTGAATATACTAGCATGATGAAGTTTTAATCTTTAAGTGTGTGTTTTTATGAGCAGCAGTAATGTGTAGTTACACATTAAGGGACATATAATTAAATGTACTCCTTCAGGCAGGAGTTATCATAATTGTAAGCATAAAATTATTCAGAGAATTTCTTCTTTGGTTTTTCTGAGGATAACAGTTAAACAGATATACAATCTACTCCCATTCCCTTGACCTACTTTTTATTTTACTTCCTTTTTAATATATTGGACATCTTTCCTAGAATATTAATAGTGCTGAAAACTCACAATGGTCTACCTACCAAGAGATTAGAGATAATAATAGTGAAATATTAATAGCTACAATGATAAAAATAACATTTGTTCATTGCATTCCTGTATTGTGTCCTATTCTTCGTATCTTATGTTTAATTGTCATAAATGAGAAAAACACGTGGTTAACCAGCCAGTGTCAGGAGTCAGACCTTGTGGACTGCAAGTCTGCCTCAGTTCCCTTGGGAGCTCCGTGACTTGGGCAGTTTAATCATTTGTGCGTTAAGTAAGCTGTTTATCTATAAAGTCGCTGTATGATGATATCTACCTCTACCTGGTAGTGTCCTTGTATACAAAGTGAGGTAATTCATGGCACACCTACAGCCATGCCTGCTACATGAGAAGAGCTCAGCTGTTCTCAAGGCTCCTCCTGGTGCAGGAATTATCATTGATTGTAGAAGCTGGCTCAGAAGTAAGTTGTTTCTTGCTCCAAGTTAGGGAGCAGTAAGGGTTGCACAGGAATTCTAATGTGGAGCCCCTCTTGTGTTATACAACCCTAAATGTGAACGCTAAACTTGCCAGGAGGCTTATACTTGTTCAAAAGTGTAAATCCAAGTAATTTTGGAAATATTTGCCACACATGTATCCACAATTTTTTTTTTTTTTTTTTTTTGGTACCGGGAATCAAACATGACCTCATGCTTGCCAGGCAGGCGCTTGCACCACTGAGCTATATCCCTGGCCCCTCCTGAAAACATTAAAGTTCGAATTCTTAAGTTCCAACCTTGGCACTTGCTCAGTTGTATCAACTTGAATAAATTCTTCCATTATTCTTGCCAAACCCTTGCCATGTCATAGGGTGTAATGAAGAGCAAATGAAATTGCTTTTAAATTTGAAAGAAGATATAGGTAATACGATACGGTCAGCTTAAGGCCCTGGTTCCCAAACTTAGCCTGCATTAGACTCACCTAGCTCGACAGAGTTTCTGATTTCTAACAAGTCTTGAGTTTATGGACCTTGCTTCCACGCGCTGTGTTTCTTTCTTAAGCATTTTTTAAGTCTTCACAAAATATTTAGGTAGGTATTTTATTTCAGAGAATTTTTTCTCAACTATTGTGGTTGAAGCATCTTCCCATTAATGTTTTAAGTTTTTCCGTAAGTCTGATTCTTACCCTTTCACTGACACAGGACATCATCACATTATCAGATGCTGACCTGATTTTTAAGTTCAGTAGTAGTTGTATAAAATCAAAAGTGAATTCGAGTTCTGTCCCTTTGCACATCAGAGCAGTGTTTCTCGCCTCATCAGAACAACTGGTTTTAGAAGCCGTTTTATTTTGAACGTGGTAACTGTAAGTGGTTCCTGTGAGTATATGAAAATATTTTTTAAATAGACACGTGTGAAGGTTTCAAAAGGTGGAGAGACGTGAACTATGTGAGTAGGATACATAAAAGGAAATGAAAAGCTGAAATTAGGCACTTCATTTTCAGGTTGAAGTTCATATTTAGTAAACAAAGCATAATTCTAAAATATGGATAAGACATGTGTGTATTATGTAATGAACGCTGATAAATGAATCCTCGTACAGTTACCGTCTAGGTACAGACACAGAACACTTTCACATGACAGAAGCCGCCATGAGTCCCACCCTGATCACAGACCCTGAGTCTTTCTTGGGGTGACCATGAGCAGTAACTTTTGGGATGACTTCGCTTTTCTCTCTGAAGTGTATGGATCTCTAATACTACAGTTTTGCTTCTTTTTGAATTTTGTGCACATAACTATTTTTTGTGTACATGTATACACACCCTTATTTGAGCTCGGTGTTCTATAAGATCTATCCAGGCAGAACCAAACCTGATATTCTGGGGGGACCGAAACTTCCTGGTACAGCCCTGTTGTCTCTTCCGTCCTGGCTCTGACCCATACCACGTATACCACTGTGTGTGTGCGGATGAGTACCCACGCCACCTGTGCGCACAGGACCCTGGGTCATCCTTGGACAGAGGCTTGGAGCTATCTGCTGCCCGAAGCATCAACCTAGGGCCATGCGAGTCCAAAAACTGGGATCAAGGCCATTTGGGCAGGGAGTCCTGGGAAGCTACGTAGTGTGGTTTAGAAAGGAACCCAGGGTCCAGTGGGCATGTCCCTCAGGCTCTTTACTGCTTGCCCCAAGGAGGTCACAGCCGGAGCAAAGTGGGGGTGAGGACCCTTGAAAATGTGGGCCTCAGGATAGAGGCCCTGGTTACCTGGTCTCAAGGTATAGATAGCACGTTCATGCAGATTCATGCATCCTGCAGTGGTAGTTTTCCGTTGTGTGAATATATGTGGTCCCAGGGATGGGTACTTGTGCCATTTCTTTCTGTGCATGAGTGCCAGCAAACTTGTGTATGTGTGGGTTTCTCGAAGTCAGCAGTACTCAAAGTGTGGTCCACAGACCACTAGGTTCTCCTGAAACCTTTCAAGAAATAATCTAGGTTCAAACTCCTCTCACAGTAATACCAGTAGTAAGACATTAGTCTTCTGTTTCCCTGCATTTGCACTAAGTAAACTTACATTCCAACCTCTCCTTGTCGGTCATATCAGCTTCACATCAAGTACTTTTCTATACTGATGTACCAAGACTGCACAGGCAAAGGTGATTGTGTGATTGTCTTTAAATAGAGCAACTATTTACTTTTTTTCTACTACCATTTTTGTATGGAAGAACAAAGTATGGTTATTCAGTTTTAGTTATTTGGCAGGTGTTTTCTTCCAAGTGAAATGAAGTGGAATGAACCTGTTACTTAAAGCAAAACAAAAGACAGGAATTTCTTACCAGTGATAAAATTCTTGCTTACATGAAAATTAGAATTTTGGAATTTTTGTGAGCTCAGACACTTTCACCACTCAAAAAGCTTTATGATACTAGATTATGATATTAACAGTATAAAAAGGTGTTAAAATTTGGACACCCTGACTCAGCCAAGTGGCCATTGCATGATACATTTTTGTGTGGATAAAATTAACCGTTTGAAAGCCAAGAATGACTGTGATTGGATCTGGATGTGTCATTTTGACCAGTGTGACTTTGTCCCCAGACTTCCATTTTTAGTCACTTGATGAGAATGGGCTACGAAGATGTTCTCTGTGTGTGCACGTGGAATTAAGGCACCTACTCAGTTACTGTCTTTTTTTTTTCAGTACTAGGAATTGAACCCAGGGCCTTTTATTTTTTATTTTGAGACGGGTCTCATGAAGTTATCCAATGTGGGCTTGCTGGAGAATTTGCAGTCCCCCTGCCTCAGTCTCCCAGTGTACTGGTATTACAGATGTGCCACCTTGCCCAGCCCTGCTCTGTTAATTGAAAGATAATGCAGAGCGTTTGTGCAGTGTGGGTCTGACCTTGGCAGGTCCCAGAGAAAAGACCTGCACCTGCGCTCCTTTGCCTCTCTCTCCCTTGGCCGGCAAGGTCAGCTGCTGCTCACGGATGGGGCTTTCACACTGCTTTTATTTTTCTTCTTGTCTTTTTGAGACAGAGTCTCGCTGTGCAGTTCAGGCTGGCCTTGAGCTCACTTTGTAGCCCAGGCTGGCCTCAAACTCGCAGTGATCTCCTGCCTCAGCCTCCCGAGTGCTGGGCTTACAGGTGTGCGCCACCATGCCCTGCACTTTGTGGTTTTTTTGTACTGGAAATCAAACTCAGTTCCTCGTACTCGCCAGGCAGGCATTTGTGCCACTGAGCTGCATCTCTGGCCCCTCACGCTGCCTTCTGACTTCCCTTCCTGGCTGCCTGTTCCGCACACTCCAGGTTTGCCTAGCCAGTCTGCACGCCTGTCCTGCCCAGTTCCTTGTCGTGCCTCTTGACTGTTCATCCCTCTTCCTGCTTCCACTTCCCGGTGAACCTTCACTACCAGACCATGGATCTAGTCAGCTGCTCCAGTAAAATCATTTAAGTAACCACTCCTTCTCAGTTTTGAAGTGTTGTGAGAGGAGATTATCCAAGAGCCTCCGGAAAAGCTATCAGGAATACTTCTCCTGAGCCAGGCGTGGTGGCACAGGCCTGCAATCCCAGCACTCTGGGAGACGGAGGCAGGAAGAGTGCAAGGTTAAGCCCAGCCTGGACAACTGAGCATCCTGTCTGAAAATTAAAAAAAAGGGCTGGGGACATAGCCCTGGGCTCAATCCCCACTGCCACCAAGGGAAGGAGGGCGAAGGGAAGGGGAAAGAAAGGAAGAGGGGAAGAAAGGAAGAAAGATGTCCTTCTTCCTCAACTGCAAGTTGTGTGAGGTGGAGTTTTCTCTACATACTGCAAACCAACCTCCCGCAAGAGAGGAAGTGCAGAGGCACATTGGAGAATCCAGTTGTCTCTCTTCAGCTAAACTTTAAAGATTTGAAGTGAGTTGACCTTGATGGATCAATATTGCATGTCTCTATCTGTTTTCATGAGAAACCACTTTGAAGATATCAATATGTAATACAAGAAGCATTGTTAATTTCCTACCACTTCGTTTGTAACTCTGTATTGTCTGTACTGTTCTTTTGCTAATTTGTAAAAGGTTGTCTGTCTGTCAATGCTTTCCTCCTTTTATTTTTAAAATAAAAAAAAAGAAATGAGTTGAAACAGTGCCAGATATATCACTAAATCTTTTAGAAAAAGTATTTTTCATTGAAATAGGTTAACATGTCATGGTTCATTGTTGTAAATAATAAATAACACACATTTTAAATGTCATACTTCTAATTCCTAATATGGCAAATAGTGAATAATTACACGAATAAAAGCTCTTTAAGGGCTTCATAATTTTTAAAGGTTTCCTGAGACCAAAAAATTTGAGGATTGCTGCTTAAGAATATACTTAAGTATGATACAGGCTGGGCACAGTGGCACACGCCTGTAATCCCAGCACTTGGAAGGCTGAGGCAGGAGGATTGCCCTGAGTTCGAGGCCAGCCTGAACTACATGTCGAGACCTTGTTTCAAAAAAAAAAAAGATACTGCTAGTTCTAGGATATGGCTTAGTTATGTAGGAAACTTATAAGCCATGACTGAATATTCAGTTTTGTCAGCTTTATTTCTTGTATTTAATGAGATGATCATATCTTTTTCCATAGAAGTTGTTAATGTAATGGATCATATTGGCATTTATAGGCTAAACCAACTTCCAGGTTCATGCATGTTGTCTAAATAATAGAATTTCCTTCTTTTTTAAGGGTTAATAGTATACAGTGTGTGTGTGTGTGTGTGTGTGTGTGTGTGTGTACGTTTTCTTCATTCATTTATCCTTTGAGGGACACTTAGGTTGATTCTTTGTCCTGGCTGTTGTGACTAGTGCTCTTCAACACATGAATGCTGTATCTTTTCTCACCAACAGTGCACAAGAGTTTGTGTTCTCCACATCCTTGGCAGTACCTGTTACCTTTATAGTCTTTCTGGTAATAGGCCATTTGAAAGGTGCACAGTTTTGAAATTGTGAAGTAAATAGAACCTTATGAAGTTACTGTCTTTATCTTAAGTAGTTCTTGTTGTCTTACGGTCTGTTTTGTGTTACAGTTAGTGATATAACTTCCCCAGCTTTATTTTTAGAAAGTATTTGAATGTTAATATCTTCTTGTTTCAGATGTTCCCTGCTGAGTCCAATTTGACAGCCTTCCTTTTAACTTCAGCTTTACCCTCATTACATTTAATGAATCAATAATGTATTTATATTTGAAATACAAGGTCTAAGTTTATGCTTTTTAACTGTACTACATGATTTGTATTTTTTCTCATGTGATTATAGACTTTACCTAAAGATCTCACTTTTCACCAACAGTACAACATATTTTTGAAATTCCATTATATTTTTTTCTTTGTCCAATAGTTATTTAGGAGTGGATTTCTTATTATTTAAAGTGTGGATATTTTCTGGTTATACTTGAATATTGATTTCTGGCTTATCCTGTGTTTGGAAAGCCTGTGAAGAGAATGTGTGTTCTGCAGGTGGAATATATAGGGTTCTGTCTGGCTATTAGGTAAGTTTGTTCTCTCTCTTCCAGTTTTCTGTCTTTATTGAGCTTTAACTGGTTCGCTTTATCAGTTACTTTGAATGCATGTGTTAAAATTGCCCACTAAAAATATTAGTTCTTTTTTTGTGTATATTTATCAGTATATATGTATTTCAGAATCTTTTTACATTGCTGCCCACTCACTGTCTGGGCCAGCACTTTGCAGAAGATGACACAGCCTTAACATAGTATGCTCTTCTGCTGCCTTATTTTTATGATTTGGACTGACCCAGATCTGGCTGTACATAGATCATCTACTACTATATTGGTTAGCTCTCTTGTTGCTGAGACACATTGCCCAATACCCACAGCTCAAAGGAGGAGAAGTTTAATTTGGCTCAAAGTTTTGGGGGGTTCAGTTCATGGCTGGCTGGCTCCAGTGCACAAACAGCATGGTGCAAGGACACAGTGGAGGAAACGTGCTCATCTTGTAGCAGCCAGAAAGTAGAGCGAGAAGGGAGGAGCCAGAGAGGAAGGTCGGCCCTCCAAAGGCGTGTCCGCAGTGACATACCTGTTCCACCCAGGCCACTGCCTCCTCATAGCACGTTCAGCCGTAAACTCGATCGATGAGATCAGTCTGCTGATGGCGGATGGCGACTTCATCATCTAGTTGCCTTTTAAAAGTCCCAACTCTGAAAGCGAGATTTTTGAAGGACATTCTCTATCTAGACGCAACACCTACCTAGACCATGATGGTGCACCTATGGCACGCGTGCTGCGGCATGCTGTTCGGATCATTGTAAGCTCTAAAAGCTTCGCCACCACTGGCTTAGACTATGAATGAAGCCATTTAAATGAAAAGATACACGGGTCCCTCTGACAGGGCAGCGTGCCACTGAGCCCGTGCTTTATAACCTCCATTGTCTGGACAGTTGACCAGGTTGTGCAGTTTCCAGAATTTTCTCCCCGTGGCCACCAGTCTGTTACTGAGCGATGTGGCCCCTGCAATCAAGTGAGGGTCCTAGATTCCTACCAGATTCTGAAGATAAAAGGACTTTTCCCCCCCAGTTACTATGAACTTGCTGTTGTCTGGTTTAATCATCTCAGGTGGAAGTCAGTGAGTGCCCACAGAAGCATCAGTCTTTTAATCAGAGGAATTGTTTTCATTTAGTTACCCGCTAAGATTTATTTCTTCTTTATCTTCAGTTGTTTGAAGGTTTGAAAGCATATCGAGGGCACGATAATAAAATTCGGCTGTTTCGGCCAGACCTCAACATGGAGAGAATGTATCGCTCTGCCGTGAGGGCGACTTTGCCGGTAGGTAAATTTAGGATTTCCGTTGTGTTGCTTTTAATGTAATGGGTCATTCTGAGTTTACCACTAAGGAGAGCAGGTTTTTTTTTCCTAAAATATACATCTATGTTTACAACTAGAATAATTTTAAATTTATAGAATATTTACAAAGAATAGAATTCCCATTACTTGACCCTATTTCCCCTCTTATTCACATTTTACTTAATATGGTACATTTTTCACAATTAATAAACCAGTACTAGTACTGTATTGTTGGGTTATGAATTAAAGACAATCATTTATTCAAATTTTCTTAGTTTTTACCTAATATCTCTTGGATGTTCCAGGATCCCAGTAGGATTGTATTTAGGTGTCATGTCCCCTTAAGTTTTTATTGACTGTGACATTTTTTCACAGAAATGATTTTTTCTTCAAAAAAATCATTTCTAAGCTGGGTGCCTGGAATCCCAGCACTCTGGCAGGGCGAGGTAGGAAGATCACAAATTTGAGCCCAGCCTAGGCAGATTAGTCCTCCTTATCCTTTTATCTCACATAGTCATTAATTCTCCTCGACCCTAAAAATGCAGCAGAAATACTGTGGAATTGCCTATCTTTTTGAGACCCTATCTCAAAAAGAAAAAATTTTTAAAGGGCTGGGAAGGTGGCTTGGGGCAAAGGCCCTGGATTCACCCCCCCAGTTTGCCAAACCAAAACAAGACAAAGATTTCTAAATCATCGGCTCAATATTCAGTACAAACCATATGAATATCGAAGTTATTTCTGATTTACTTTAGGATGGTAACATACAAGGAACTAACCAATACTGTTTGGCAATTCCACAGTATTTCTGCTGCATTTTTAGGGTCGAGGAGAATTAATGAGTATGTGAGATAAAAGGATAAGGAGGACAAATATGTCTGAAACTACAATGTAATTTAAAGGCCACATGAAATTACATTGGAAATGAACAGTGTGTATAGCATGAGTGTTTGGGGAATATTTTACCTAATTGCTTTGGCCACTAGAAAGTACTCAATAAGATAATTATTTTATCACAAGCTTTGTTTTGGAGAGAAAAAGAACATTTAAAGTTTTTTTTTTTTTAATGGCCATTGGATCCTGCCTGTAACACTGTTATGGGTCACAATTCATTATAAAATGGGTTAGATTTAAACACTACCCTTCACAGCTCACTAGGGCGTGACTCCCCTCGCTTCCCTTCCTGAGATGGCTGAGTTGCTTTTCCCAACAGAGTGAAGTCTGTTCTTTCTTTTATAAAATTCTGTGTAGCTCACCTCCTGGAGCTTTGCCCAAGGCATCCACTGAAGAAAGCTAATGCTGAGCATCTTTTTGGCCTGGCTTTCCCTTCCTTTCCCTGCTTCTATAACACAGGCTTTACTAATCTCCTTTAGGAGCCTTACTGTAGTGGCAGAGGAAAATTAAACTATATTCATTGGCTGAGCCCCTAGGTTCACTCTGCTTAGAATTACTTGTAGATAAGTAAAGAAAGTTTTAAAGTTGGACCTGAGGGCTGGGGATTTAGCTCAGCGGCAAAAGCGCCTGCCTGGCAAGCGCAAGGTCTTGAGTTCGGCTCCCGGTACCGGAGAAAAACCAAAAAAAAAAAAAATTAATAAAGTTGGACCTGAGGGAAAGGGAAGTAACGTAGGACATCAGCTCTGCCATGAACTGTATAGTATTTCCTCATCTACTTAATCGGAGCAGTAAGCCACTGTCCAGAAGGTGTGTATTACGAGGTTCGTAGTGCCTTTGTACAGAGAAGAAAACTTAAACTCAGATTGGTGTAAATTACTTACCCAGGTCGCACATTATTAAAGACATTGGGCAGGAAATTGGATCTAGGCTTTTTGATTCCAAGGCAAATTCTTCTTTCACTAAGTTAACTAAATTTTGTCTGTAGACAGCAGTACCAGAGACCTGAGCAAGTGATAGAGTGTTCATCTACATTGTTGACAGTCCCAGCTTCTGTGACATTCTATACTATGATTGCTGGTGCAGATTAATGTTTGAACAGGCAAACCCTGGTGTCATAAGCTCTATTCATTCAACTTGTTTGCAGCACTTTTCTGCCTGGGATATCCCATCATATTGCTGAGAGCATTTCTGTGCCCTGCGACTGAACAGAAACTACTTGAATAACTTTATAAACCGTCACCTGTCTAGGATATGAAAATCCTTCTTCTCTTTAGAGATAATATTCTTTTGGCCGATTTTCCTTTAGGTTACCTGACATTCAGGATATATTAACGTATCCTAGTACTTCCTTTCTCTGTAACCAATATATTAATCCAGCTTGTTACTTTTACACCTTGTGAAGAACAAAAGTCCTTATACTAAAGACCAATTTTATCCATTTCCCACTTTTCATGATTTGTATTTTACATGTCTTACTTAAAAATCTTTTCCTATCTTAAGGTCACAGATATTCCGTATGTTATAATAAACATCTTAGTAGTATTTTGTCATATTTAAGTATAAAATTCCAAGTAAATTGATTTGTGGGTATGGTAAGAGCTAGGTATCTAATCTTTTCTGTATGGGTGGTTCATACTGCCATAATTTGGGGGGGTGCTTTTCATATATATATATAATTAATTACATTTCTTTGGGGCAAATTAAGACTGTCATCTGGGAAAATACAGATTTAAGCAATCCTGAAAATATGCCCCCCCCCCATATCCCTTTTAGGAACCTCTACAAGGACCATTTCTTACTGACATTTTGAGGGGAAAAAATGTCATCATTCACTCAGTTTTCATTCTTTCAGGTATTTGACAAGGAAGAGCTTCTACAGTGTATCCAGCAGCTTGTGTCTTTGGAGAAAGAATGGGTCCCCTATTCCACCGCTGCTAGTCTATATATTCGTCCCACACTCATCGGGACTGAGGTACAGACGGATTCCCTGTTTTGGGGTACATTGGTGGGCACGTTAACATTATTTATTCTTACTTGAGACTTTCAGAAGGTAGTTTGAAGTGGTTTCCCCCTCCCAATAGCATCATTAATGGCTTTTCCCTCCTGGTTGTTAGACTGAGGATGGTACACATTTGCTGTGGAAAGTCAGGTAGTGAAGTGTTTTAGGTGTGGGGGGTTCATGCGGTGCCTGTCACAGTGGTGCAGCGCTGCTATTTTAGTACTGAAGCAGCCACAAATGCGCACCTGGATGAGAAGGGAGTTGTGCTGTCTGCCTTCCCCTGCACAAGGCGAATCATTGTCTCCTCAGCCTGGGAAGTGTAACGCCTTCCATCCTGGGTTAGAAATACTGGAGAGGGAGAGCTGCTAATTTTTATTTTCATTTTTCTGAAGTCTTGGGACTTCTTGGTAAAAAGCGGGAATAGAGGTTCCCTTCCAAACAGAAAATGCTGAAAGTGTAGTCCACAGTGGGGCGCAGGGGAAGGAACTTAAGGAGTCAGATGGCCATTTTGAACTCTGAAGGGCCACAGGCTCCTGGTCGCGCGCCCGCGCAGTAGAAGGCCTGGGCTTGGGTGTGCCTGGAGGGCACAAGGCACTTGGGTGGGTGAGTTCGTTTATAGAGACTTGTGGTCTCCGGTATGGGCCGGCAGCTGTGGCCTCATGGAGAGTGGGTAATCCTGAGGATTAGGTGCGGGGAGGGGATAAAATGAGGGTGGCAGTTTAAGGGCATCCACCACACGCATACCCTCAGGAATAAGGAAGACAGGGCAGAGCTTTTGCTGTGGCCTAGCTCTTCTGCTCTCTACTAGTTATTTATTGTATGGTTACCAGATTATCGCCCAGGTTGTAAGAATGTGAGAAGTAAAGAATTATACATGCCCACAGAATAAATACCTACAGGGTCCTTCGGCGTCATGGCCGCCTTTTGCAAGACTACTGAGAATCTAAATAATCTCATGAATAATAGCTTCCCTAATAAACTTTGAAGTCTTGAGGTAATTAAAAAAGTGACCTACTTTAAGTTTTCAACACTTTAATTTTTTTGAATCTTCAGTTAATTTTTAACTTTATGACAGGAAGGATCAATTTCTAAAGAAATCGTTAGTAATTGTTACTAATTGTACATTGTTTCTCTTCTCAAAACACCACTTCTCAGAGACACTTCTCCAGTCTGAGATTTCTGTATTCCTAGTTTGTTGGGAGTTTTTGTCATGGATGAATGCTGGGTTTTGTCCGTTGTTTTTTCTGGATCTCTTCTCACTTTGTTGCGCTGGTTTTGTTTTTTTTTAAATTCCCTTTTTACTTTCATTCACCACTTTCATTTCCTGTTCCCTCATTAAAAGATATTCTCATGCACTGAATCAGTATTCTTTTGGTGTATATGTGTTTCTGAGTTACTTCTTTCTGCCTTGTGTGCTCAGAATTGTATAGTTACTGTCCTGCCAATCTCATTTTCTCCCTCTTTCTCTCCACCCTGCTTCCCCATTTCTGTCCCGGTCCTTATGTGTGTCTAGAACCTATCACATTTCACTGCTGCATAGTTTTCCGTTCTGAACTTTCTGCCTTTTGTCACTATTTCCTCAGTGGCATTTCTACTCTCCGCTATTTCCTAAAGTGCTTCAAAGGAACAGCTTTCTAGGAGTTATTTATTGGCTAGAAAGAGGGCCATCCTGTGTTTCCACCCCAGTGCTGTGGTGAAATGGTGCGGCAAGAGTGACAAGGTTGAAAACAGGATTTGATGGGCCACTCATACCTTTGACTCTATTTTCATTCTGTCTCTGAGCTACCAGCTCCCCACCCTGAATTATACTTGACAGATTTACACCACCAGCATGTGAGGCACCCTTACAGGTCTTGCGTGTTAAGAAATTGGGTTGTCTTTGTAGTTTTTTTGAGCCTTTATATATGCTAGATGTAAATGCTTTGTCAGCTTGTGCATCGCAAGTAACTTCCCAGTGTGTGTGGAATGCTTTGTCTGGTAAATGCATTTGCGTGGCTTTGTTTCGTCTATCTTGTCTCTGTCACTTGGCTACCAGCGGCCTGATAACCGGAACTACTTAGTTTCAATGTAAAAGTGTTGTTTATGTTTTGTGATGTTCATGTATTTTAAAGAAATTATTCCGTGCTTCAAGGTCATTCCTCTTTTTAAAGTTTTCTTACTCCACTTCAGGGAAATCCATGCAGACACGAACTCTGGGAAGTTGAGAGCGCAGTTTCTGTTTTCTCCCCACGGAAGCCTCCGTCTGTCATCACCATGGTCGATGGGTCTGTTCTTCCCTCAGTGCTTCCAGTGCGAGCTGCTGGCAGCTCAGGTTTCCACAGATGAACGCTAACTTGGTTGTTTTTACTACTATCAGTACATTTATGATTTCAAAGGCAGGTAGAGACAGACAGCCCCGAGTTAGCATTCATCTATGGATGATTTCTTTTTTTGTACTTATAGTCTGCCTTCAAGATCTTTCCATATTTGTACATAGTGGATCTGCCTGTAAAGGACGCCCCTGTACACATATGCATGCAGGGTGTTGTAAGGTGTAAGAAGCAACGTTACTTTATTCACTGAGATGGAACAACATTGGCAATCAGACAGTACTTTCCCCAGCAGTCCCGATGATTTTTGAGTTAGTCATAGCCTCTTCTTTGAGGCGTATGAGTTCTGAGGAAATCAGCAATCTCTCCTTCCATCAGTTGTACTGGCTTATCATAGGCATTTTTATCTTCGCATCTGTTGTCATAACATGTGTTAACACAGTTTTATTTTCTTACAGGTTTCTTCCTATCATGGGTCCCATTAGAGGATGGAATCACAAGGTCAAGTCACAATTCAAAAGACTGACTTGAATTGGTTAAATATCATTATAGATATTTTTTCCACTAATAACCAGTATAGATCCTGCTCCTATTTTGTTTTTTTGATGATGATGAAAAAATGTATATTTAGAATTACTGAGCTGGACTCAGTTGGCATGATCCCAGTTTGGTTGGCCACACCCTAAGCATCGTAAGCAGGAGCCGGTGGCTGTATGTCTTCCCTCCCTCAGGCCTGGTCAGGGTACTGACCTCGGCCCATCAGTGTCGTAGAGCTTCTTCACAGCCTATGTGATGTGGTGTTTCATGGCCTTGGTGTTCACTTCACCCACAGTGAGCGCGGTGTTACATTTTCACGACAGACGCAGTGGTTAGGGGAAGTTGAGGAGAGCATAGTGGTTAAGTTGGTTTCTCCTGGCCCACCCTTCAGGGGCCATTTGGGCTGCATCAGAGCCTTAAGGTACTGGGCTGCTGGAAGGTGAGTGACGTGCAGTTGTCTCTCTCTTGTGCCTGGGTAGGTGCAGTGTAGTGCTGCCGTCTTGACCTTCAAAGGCTTGGCTGTGCTTTTCACCCTGGAGGGATGGAAACTTCCTTCTTTGCTTTTGGTGCCATCCTCATGAAAATCGCCTGTTCTTTTTGTGCTTTTGCTTGTGGTAACTTCGGTGCGAAGTAATTTCATAACTGAAGATTTTCTGTGCCTTTTTTTATTACTATATGTTTGGGATACATAAAGAATACATTTCACTACAGGGAATTGGTACATCTACATAGTTCATTTTAGTTCATTTTGGAACATCCCCCCCATCTTTTGGTCCCTTTTCTATTTCCAAAACTTCTGTCTCCCTGTTTCCTATCATTTGTCTTTCATTTTACTCTTTAAATTATCTATACTTTGGGTTTCTCACATAAAAGAAATCATACGATACAGTATTAAACTTTCTGTGTCTGATTTATTTCACTTAGCATTACGGTCACAAGTTGTATCCATTTTCCTACAAATGACTCAAATGTATTCCTGTTTATGGCCAAATACTTTCCATTGTGTAACACATTTTCTTTATCCATTCATCTGTCGATAGATATATAGGCCACATCCAAGATTCAGCTATTGTGAGTTGTGCTGCTGTAAACACAGGTGTGTGTTTCATTGTGATATGACATGTTTAACTTTTGGAAAGATGCTCAGAAAGGGAATAGTTGGGTCAAATGGAATTTCTGTACTTTTTTTTGAAGAAATTTCCATGCTGATTTCCATAGTGGTTCTATTAGTTTAATATCCCTCCAACATTGTAGAAGGGTTCTTATCCACCCACAAGCTCGACTGCATTTGTTGTTTGAATTCTTGATGATGGCCATTCTTTCTGAAGTAAGATGAAATCTCAGTGTCGTTTTGATTTGCATTTCTCTAATAACAAAAGATGCTGAACATTTTTTCGACATACTTATTGGCCATTTGCACTTCTTTTTTGAAAGTATCTATTCATTTCAGTTGCCCATTTTTTGATTGAGTCTTTGATTTTGGGGAGTCTAATTTTTTTTGAGTTTTTGTATGTTCTAGGTATTTATTAGTCCACTGTCTGAATCATATCTTGACATGTTTATTACTAATGCTCATAACATTGGGAGGACCATCAAAATGAACAGCTGTGACCACACCTGGCATCGAGGTGCTGCTTAGCCAATAACAGTTACAAAGTGTGATGTCCAGATTTCAGATGTGTGAAGAGTGAAATAAAAGGGTACATCTTAGAATGTGTAAATAATAGCATAGTTTAACTAGTTTCCTGTTGGCCCACTGTTATTTGGTTGATACAATAAGCTGCAACTAGTAAGAGGAGCAAAGCAGGAAAATTAAATTTGGGAGTCTTAACAATGGAGGTATTCAAGAAATTTAAGCTCTAGCTGTGTCTCCTAGGGTACCTGAAGACATTCAGTACCATTTATTGCACCTCATGGAGTTTGCTGATGTCTTGGATGTGAGTGTAAGAGGAGAGATGCCATATTTTTCTTATAGGCCCCATAGCAACTGGGTAGTAAGTGTTTATTGGGATAGGGAAGAGGGATAATTCATGTTTGTTGGTTGGAGTGATGATGGGTAGAGTCAGGAGTTTTCAGTCAGAAACTTAAACCTGAGCCAGGTGTGGTGGTGCATGCCTGTAATCCCAG